TTTGATTTAGGTCAATAAGAAATGAAGAAATATATTTAGCAATTCAAATATAATCTTCGAATATTATCCACATGGTTAAAAGGTTGTGTGTTTTGTTTAACCGTCCTTGATATTATAGTAATACGAATTTTACTGTTTGTGTATTTGTTGTTTTTTAAGCACGTTGTCTTGCCATATATATGAAGTCGATCGCCTTTGACACGTTTTTCTTTTTAATTTTTGGTCATTGTTCACATGTAATGGTCTAAATGGTACAAATTGTCAAAAAAAGCAACTGAAGAAAATGATGGTTTATGTAATTAGCTACTGTGTAACTCTTTTTGAGACTTTTAAAGAAAACAAACAAAAAAACTTAAATAAAATAAAAACAACATATTCTTGGGGCATTATTTGCCTTAAAAACTAGAAGTTATAGTCTATATATACACGTATATTATATCAACATTATACAATTGGCATGACATAGTTATTAATATACGAGTTATTCGACCGTATCAAGCATTTGTAAATTATATTTTTAAACAAGTCGTTGAAATAAATGTAAATACTAAAGAAATAACTTTTTTTTTCAAAAATAGCGATTGATGGTATTTGATGTTTAAGGAATAACGATTGAAATATGAAAGGTACACGCATAATAAATAATGGATAGGTTGTTTGTTTTCATCTTCGGAAACAACATTGATTGTACAAGATTCACATTGATACATGTTTTGTTATCACTAGTATACTGTAAAACACATTTACAACAATTCATTTTTGTACATTTGAAAACATTTTAATACATGTACTACATAATGACTATTACTTGAGGAAATCCCAACGTTGATATCATTTATATATTATCTATATTCAAGTTAACTATAAATGTGTGATATTTTTGTTTCATTCCTGAAAATCGTAGCTGTATTTTAAACCATTTAATTAAGCTATACTTATTTGTATAGCGCTTATTCGATATGCTTATTATCGTAATCTGTTTCATAGGGCCATACAAACATGTTAAAACTCTAAACAAAATTTGAAAGTGATCTCACTGAAATATTTTAACATGAATTTGAAATATAGTTTTTTTCGAGATATATGTTCCAATGGATGAAGGTCTAAATCAATAATTTGTAAGTAAAATTTCAGATGATTCGCACAATCCGTTTTTAAATTACCATAATACTAATTTCAATTGTGAAGAAATGACAGAATATTTAAAAAAAATGCGCAGCCGACCAATGTAAGAAATTCAAAATTCAATTTGCAAGGCTTAAGGACGTCATTTCATATATTTACACACTAGTATTCAATTCTAAATTTGAATATTTTATAAATCTATCATGTGAAATCGATTATTTGAGTAATACCGTTGAATATAATTGTTAAACAATTACACGAACAATGAAAAAATGGGCCACAAAGCTAAATTCATAGACCTTTCTGTAGAATTATTTGTTGCCGGAAGTGAGTTTCTTTGTTAACATCCGGAATAATTTGATATACCCGTGGTATAAACAAATACGTGTATTGAGTGGTATAGGGGCATGATCTTTATTTGTGACATGCCAACAGTTATTCGATAATTTCAAGTGTGTTGAAAGTTGTTCGTCAATTTATTGTGTTAACAGTTGAAAGTCTAGGTATCACACGAATATTTCAAAGGACGTTTTATTATATGCCATCTTTGTTTTTTATTCACAGAAGAAAAAAAAACTAAATCTAAAATATATTACGTTTACCACAAAATATGAAATTACTTTGAAAAGTTCAAATTCAAGGCAAATGTAGTTTCTTAAATGAATTTTTAAAATCACGAACACAGAGTAATCGGATGCGTTGTACTAAGTGAAAAAAACAACCTTTTTTCGTTCTTATTTTTCTATGTCAAACGCTTAATCATACTTAGTGAACATGTGCCACATTTCATTGATCGTCATTTTTCTGTCACCGCCGATTTATAAATCATATGGGGTTTTTAGCCAGTCACCTGCAAGTGTGATGCCGAAGTTTACAAAATAAAAAGAAAATATATGAACACAGTATCGGATGCAATTCAATCGCGTTCTTTTTCTTTTAAAGATGCATTTTTCTTTAGCCGGTGCTACGGGGTGTGAACTGTAACTTTTATTTTTCACATCAACCCATGAGCTACTTTAATCCATTTGAGCCTTGAACATCTTTAATTTTATCCGTCGAGATTTGTTTTTTGTTTTTCTATTTGCTTTACCTAGTTGATCTCATAATTATTATTCATAAATTGACGCACTCACGGACTTTATTACTTCCTGTTTAAATAATCCATAATGTCCATATTAAAAGCCCTGTCTGTGTTAAATGTCGATTAAATGTCAGGGAATCGGCAATTATCACATTCCCAAACTTAGTAAACGCTTTTATCTTTGACATTATTATTATAGACTAAACAATATACCTTATTTAGCAAGGCATTTGAAGAGCATAGCCATCGAATATTGAAAGCGCCAAGATTAGTTTCTCTTTTTGATCGACGTAAAGTGACAATCTTATTAGCGTTTTATAGAAATAGCGCTCATTTATGGGCAGGTGTGCGCATTACTATAAGACGTTTGTAAAACATAATGTTGCGTAAATCATCGTCTTAGACAAAACAAAACAATGTAAATACATTTTTGCAATTTAAATCAATTGCCGTTTGTTTTTCTTATTGTTTGTATGTTTTTTTCCGTTTGTTTGATTCCTCTTGTTGTTGTGTCTACCGTTTGTTTGTTTCTTCTTTGTTTGCTTTTATCGTCTTTCTTTGAGGGGGTCTTACAAAAAATAAAAAACGAAAAAAAAAAGCAACAGATTAAAGCTCATTCACTAAAGCCTGGATAATTAAATGACTTTCTCAATCTGAAAGATAAATAAAATCATCATTTAGATAAGAAAGAGAGAGAAAGAGTACAAACAATCAAACATTTGTTTGATCATCCTCAAATATTGGTACAAATTGACTATACACATCAAAAGTAAGATGGACATAGATAACTTGATTTCACAACTTAATCTGGAAGTAAATTCACTTGATTTCGCAACTTAATCAAAAGTAAATTCAATACAAATGACATTTATGGTACGAATGCCTTGATTTTGTACTTCATTATTTTGATTTAATGAAGACAAAATTGGAAATAAGATATATGATTACTTTTGTATATTCTATTAAAATCTACTTTAAATAAAGATTTTTTTATTATAATAATTACTATTATTATTATTTTTATTATTATTACCATCATCATCACAAGCTCTTGCATCTGTAAATATAAGACAATCCATACATTATTTTATCAACCCATTTAAGCACATTAACACGAAAACTTAAAATAACGCCCTGTTACGTTGAAATTCAAATGAATGCAGACTATGTTTCATTGGTCATGTTTGATTGTTTGTCTGGCTACACTTCGTGAACAGTAGTAGTAAGTGCAGTTTATGTTCACACCCGAGCAAAGTAAGTGTTTAAACAAATCTTCAATATTTACATAAGGAAGCCAGGTTTATGTAGATTTGTCTGCATTTAGACCGGCGAAGCTTAATAAAATGCTACACTTTCACCTCATTTGGTTTCTACATCAATCATTAGTCATTTCATAGACACGGTGCATTAATTTATTTTATTATGTCTAGGTGTGTTATGATTATGCTTTTACATCTCTTTGTTTTACATATCGTACGATTCCTTAAAGATGAATACAAATTTTTACATTTTGTGTTGTAAATACAAATTGCAAGATGTAGCAACCGAAATTCAGCGATAAGTATACAAATACTGGTTCAAGGAAACATTGACTTGTTTCTAACGAGGTTTAAACAGAGACAATTGTTTAATTATGCAGGATAGTTGTCGGTATTTGTTTTATGTTTTGTCTCCCAGGAGCCCCAATCCCTCCAAACAAAATTAAACATGATGTTTAGTAGTTACTGTGTTTCCAGTTAAAAAACTTGAATTGTTATTGTCTGTCAATTTGGATAATAAACAAAAGTACCTTCCCATGACAAGCTTGGAAGCATTGTGTAACATGAATTACTCTGAGAGGAAGGGATACGGTAGTTTGGATGTGGTAAAGAAAATATATAACTATAAAGTTTAATATCTTTTAATGGCACAACTTCGTGTTTTTTTCATATATGCGTGGTTAAAGGTCTTCGAGGTAGAACTTAAATTGATTAATTAAGATAAGTCGTACAAACTACTAGAATCTCGATAAAAAGACATTAATTTACTTAAGATGAGCCCATTATACTGTTAGTAAAAATATAAATAGTAAACTAAAATAGTACAATTCACAGTAGACTGAATGAAAATCATGAATAAAAGACAATAAGGTTATTTAATGAAATATGGCACTCACTGACAAAATTAAAAATTGATAAATATTAAGGAAATAATACAACGAGCACATTTTCCTTTAATATTTCAAATACTGGTAAAAATTGAAATCTATCATTTTTGATATACTTATAAAATGCTGCCTGATAAAGAAAATGTTGATAAAGTTCTAAATTGTTTAGAATAGATATCTGATGATAATAATATTTCGTACTAGAACATTTTAATATTTGCTATATAAATATATGTAATATCTGATCAGGTATCTCACAAACAAACTTGCCATGTACAAATTAGTTCGTGTTTCGTTGTTATGACTAAATTATCAAATACTACAAACGTAATTATTCATTGTACGAAGGACCTTCAATTATAAACCAATTCACTTTACTTTTAAGTTAATTTTATAGGAAAGTACTAAAACAGAAAGTGCAAAACTATCTAATTAATATTAACATCAACAAAAGATCAAAGGAAATCCATCGGGAATGACAGAATGATGCTTCAAATAATTTCAGAGATAATACAAATGTTATCTTCAGACAATATGTCGCTTTGTTTCAGTTAATAAATCAATGACATGTTTTTATATTTATTTTTGCTATTACTCATTTAGTTATGCCACATCTAGTCATGAAAAGTATTCTTTATTTTCAGGACATCTCAGAGGAACCGATGCAGACGACAAATAATATTGCTATGGCGTTCAATAACACGACTGAAATTTTAGTCGAGGATATAGGCAATTATACCGGTAAGTATGCAATTGTGTGCACTTTTTTAAGTTTAAAGGCTCATTATGCCAAAGAAATTATTTTATAATATGTCACATAATGTTGTTTGTGTGTACTTTTAAATATTCCAGAAAGTAACCACTTGGTAATAAAAACCGAACCATCTTTTTAAATTGCTTTTTGGCAATTATATATACAATTATAGTGATATATGATTTTGTATGGGAGTCAAAAGGCTACTTTGCTGACATTTTGGTACTTTTATGATGAATCATACCACAATAAGCGCTGCTTTATTCAGTCAACAAGTTTCTATCGTGTTCTTACACCACTATTGAAATATTATGAAATTCATATTTGCTTTAGCTAAAGAAGTACCATTTATTCGTTCCTCGGGCATAACATGCCTATAACATTCACCAATACTTAAGGATAACACAAATGAATTCATGTATAAATAAAAAATTTAATTGAATCAATTGTTCCAAATTGAGAAGAAAAAAATGGAATCCCCAAGGAACGCCTAAAGTGGCAAAAAAAATAATAACAATTTAAATTTGATTGCATTTGTTCATGAATGGTAGTTGTAAAGTAAGCAATGTAATTTTTCTTATTCATACAATTCTTTTTTAATGCATCTAACATTCAATTAAGTATAATAATGCATTCAAAATCTTCTTACAGGTTTCCTCGAAAGACCAGCTGAATGGGGATTTTGGACCAAATTCGTATTGACACCTGTGATTGTACTGGCAGGACTTATTGGAAACACTCTTTCATTTATTGTAATGAGATCCAAGACGTTGCGGAAGAAATCTTATTCCCAGTATTTAAGTGTTCTTGCTATATTCGACACTCTTACACTCATCATTAGACAGGTTCGGATTGTTGACGAATACTACTTTAACAAGTTTGGTGTTAACGAAGTGTTCAAAAACTTCAATGACATCGGGTGTAAGATCTTTCATTACTCGGAGCATGTGTCATATTTAATGTCATCATGGCTTATAGTGTTGATGGCGATGGAAAGGTTAATAGCCGTGTGTTTCCCATTCAAAAAGGCCGTGATAAGAAAAAAGACAGGGGCTTCTTTGTGCATATCAATCTTGTTTATTATGGTTTGCGTCAGTCAGTCATTTAGACTTGTAATGATAGAACAAATTGGTGAAGACATACAAAATTGTGAAGCAAGTTTTATCTATTTGGATATATACACAAGTCTACACGTTTACTTCTATCAATGGACGCTCATATTTGCCTTACCGGTTGTTCTTGTCCTTGGATGTAACGTTCTTGTATTGTTTCAAATATTCAAAATCAAACGGGAAGTGCGGACGAAGGATAAACGGAATCGCTATAACAGAACCGCAAGGAAGAACAACAGAACAACGTGTATGCTTCTTATTGTATCCTTCACTTTTATTGGAACCCTACTTCCTTTGTTTGCGCTAACGCTTGTAGTGGACATAGCTATTAAGCGGTTAGGAAGCAAAGCTTATTCATTATATTGCTCACTTTGGCCATTTATTGAAACCTGTGAAGCAATTTCGCTTATAAACTATGCTGCGAACTTCTTCATATACATACTTGCAGAAGGAAAGTGGTAAAGAAAACGTGTGCTACAAGAACTGTTTGTGCTGCTATATTTTCATAAGTGTACAAATTATATAAAAATCTTAACAAGTGATATATCAAAGGATGCTTTAATTTATTATTTTAGTGTATTCCATGCTTTCCAGTGTTTTACTTTAATATATCAGATGATTATTTTCTGATAAATCACTATATAACCGGACTATGTCTACATGAGGATGAAAAGATGGAATAACAGGCAAACATTAATGCCGTCATACGTAAATTTTGCTTCTTTAGGAAAAGAAATGCGATGTGTTAAACATGTAACAAAATAGAGAAATTTTACAGAACTTTATTTCAAAATTGATGATATGACGTCATGATGTGATTATGTCATAAAGAAGAATGCTTGATCGTACACATGAGTAAAACATATTAGTAAAAAAATACTTAAAATCACTTAAAAAGCATAAAATAAAAAGACAATTATTTTGTTTTACATAAGATTGAGACATTTTTCATTTGTGAACACCAGCTATTCTAGTTTAACTCGTGGCTTCGCCATTGTTGCATCTGGTGTTCACTCAGTGAAATATATTTCAATCATACTTGCAAAAGAAACAAATATCCTCTGTATGTTATGAATATTAAGATTTGTATTGCTCAGTATGAAAGGTTGTTAAAATATATAACCTATATACACTGGCATATAAAACCGGTATGTCAATGGCATTTGAAGAGCATTTTTTTATATCTCAAACTTGAATTTTTGATAAAAGTAGAACATCATTAAATAATTCGCAGCAAATATGTCTATAAGTAATATTGAGATTAATACATCTTGTGATTGTTATATAATACTGTCTTATGCGATGTGAGGAGTTAGATATCCGTAATTTTATTTGACCCGCTGACTATAACAAACGGTCCTCATACCTATGCCGAATTGCCTGGCTTTAGGTATTCTTTTCGGTGTAAGTTACCTCCCTTGTTTAAACGTCGAAAACGCTTATTAAAATTGTCTGCAAAATGATGTCGACTAATGTCTTAAAATATTTTAAAAAATGGTTGAAAAAACTTTAGTATTAAATCGGTATTAAAATAGTAATATTACATCCAAAATGATTTGTACTAATAAAATATTTACCCGTGATGAAATGATGTCAACTGAGGTGTTGACGTCACAAGTTTCGGTAATAAATATAAGTTATAAATAATTGTGGTTATATGACCCTTTATAAACGGTTGTTTGGAAACAAAACCCGAATTGCTGGGCGAGGGTTATATTGCAAACAACTGTTTACGGTCATATAACCTTCAATGAATATTTATAACGAATTTTAATCCAGCAAACTTTCTTTGTTGTTGAGAAAAAATCAATATTTCTTCATATATTGACAGCAGCCGTGTATATAAAATCACTAGTATCCAATGAAAAGAGACGATATAAACGTGCAGTATTATTATATATTATTTAATGCTCAGAATGACGTGAGCTGTCTTTGTCAATGTGAAGTTTAAATTTAAAAATTGACAATGTGTTGACGGTTTTATTATAAAAGGCCGATTATGCCCCAGAAATTGTTTTATTTTCATTTCTGTAAAGCCTTTTAAATTTGTTGTTTCGTTATAATTTCCCAAAAGTTTTTTATTGGCCAAACATTTTGCTTCTGTTGCTTTTTGGCAATACGTGCATATAGTTTTATATATTGTTATAAGCTTTTTTTGTTATTGGTGTACTTGTATGATATTCAAAATAAGTTGAGCAATTTCCAGAGAATATTTTCTACATTTACTTCCTTTCAGTAAAGTTATATTGATTTAAAAATGTGTGGCATTTCTTAGGCATAACGTGCCCCTAAGTAGGAAAATGTCTTCAATTGTTTTTGCATATTCTAAATTCTTTTTGGTACATAAAGCGAAAGCGCTGTTAACAATATGTTAACTCTTTCTTAGTTCATTTGACAATATTTTGCTTTTAGATACATTTTCATAATTTTCATGAAAATTAGCATGAATTTGAAGATATGCTGCTTTAAATAAAATGAGGCATACATTGATAGTTATTTATTTATTTATCTTTTTTATTAGTAATTGTTATCGTTAAATATGTTAATATAAGCTCAATGACTACAAAATCTGTTCCAGGTGCTTATTTTTCTTTTTTCTCAAAATGAAATCAAGTAATCGAGTAGACAATCACGTACGAATCGAATATTTTGTTTGGCATAAATGTTTTATTGTTCAGTTTATGTATGTAAATGAAAATTGGCTTTTCCATATAATATGTCAATTCTACATCAATGTTATATGTGCGCTACAAGTAATAATAATTGTTACAACTATGTGAAACGTATGTACGTATGCTATGTATGTATTATAAATTCAAGCTTGTTTGTAGGAATTAACGGCATTGCAAAATATTCAACTGTCATTATATCTCGTACTTAAGTGACACGAAAAACGAAAAAAAAAATGACTTGAACATTAGAAATACAGATTTTGTGTCCAAATATTGATAAGAAATGCCCATGTATGTTACATATTTACAATTGAAAAGAACATTTTCTGTGGCTGTTCGGTGCCCTACAGGGTTCCGTTCCCTTGCAGCTTATACATAGATACAATGGAGTACATCGCTATCGTTTAGTATAATATAAAGCATTGACATTTCTAAAAGTATTTGATTGTTCTGTATGAAAAAAATGTTTGAAAAAGGCTTTAGTCCGTGTTTTGATCTTATTTTTGATTATAGATATTACATATTTATTTTTTAAAATAAAATACATTTTAAAAAGTGGCTTGCTTGTTATTATGTACCATAACGACAGTTGCCGAAATGCAGTAAACATTATTTGTATCGAACTTAAACTCATTCAATATCCTCTGTATATGTATATTATACTTAAATAGACAAATTTCCTTTATAACGCATATAAACTGGTAAAATAAAAACGGTGCATGCTCAGTTTGATTAATAATCTTCATGAACGGTATTGGAACGTCCTTACTATCGTCCTCACCGCTAAAACACCGGTTAAAGATTTGAAATGTATAAAGCTTTATATCTGCAACCTGAAGTTTAATTAACTATTGTTATCATTTAGAACTCTAAAATGTTTGTATATGGAAGAATAATGCGTGAAATTTACCACCGGCCAAATGGCGCGTGTACGAAAATATCACTAACCGGTTTAACCCTGCCCTACACTGCAACCTTATATTGTGTTTTTACATTTTGTTTGTTAATACTGTACAATATTCATGTTTGTTTATTAACAGAAACAAGCTATATAACAACTCTTTAGATAGTAATAAAAATAAAATAAAACGAGAATAAAGATCAACAAGGCAACGACAACGTTTCCGGTCAACATGAAATGATTACGTTATGAAATTAATTATAGTCAATTCATTCCCGCCGTCCGCGATAGACACACGCTTTATTTTATTAAATCAGCTACTTATTGAAATTATTTCCCAACTCAGTTCCTGTACGGAAATAAGGACACTGGGGACCTCTGACCTTACGGCACGACTCGGGAATGCATTCCGTGAACGTTAATCTTCCTTGTTTATCTGAAATTCCATAATTTACAAACAAATGGCTTAATTCAAGGTGTCAGTAAATCATCTTTGCATTTCATGGCGAGAAAATGAAAATAAAATCAAATACAGCATTATGACCATGATGACTGGACTTTAGGAATTTCACAAAAGGTCATTATAATTACAATACCGTATTATTTATAACAAAAATATTTAAACTATAAATTGTTAACAATACGTCTAAAAACATGTTCTTGAGTGCAACGTGTATTGACAGGGGAGTAAATAAATTTAATTGTCATATATTTTTCATAACTGGACCAATGTCAAACAAAGTCGTCTTTTTGTTTGTATTTTTGCTCTTTTGAGGTCTACCTCCTTTACATTATTGTTTGTAATATAAACAAAGCGATAGTTGTATGAAAAACAAACATTTTTATGAAGAGAAAATTGAAAACAAAAGTTCACATTTTAAGGCTTTTTATTTTGTCAATGTTGGTTCATATGGAATTAATTTTAGTTCGAATCCTTGATCCATAACGACTGAACAATAAGTGAAGCGATTCTTGCTCAAGGAAACATCGGCATGCTCCAGAAGAGGTTTGAACCTATGCGGACAGCGATCGTAGCATAACTAGTCTGACGCTTTAACCACTTAGCCATACCGCCGTTTAAAATAATTATTTATTTAATCATATTTTTGAGATTGGTTTGGTATATATTAATACTGTCTTCTCTATGTGTACATTTTGATATATAGATTTCGTATGTAGAACTGAGAGTTTGTTTCCATTATTTCGTATTAGTGTCTTGTTTGTAGAACTCTATTTGAGATAGGGCATATTGTTACAAATTTGTTACAGCATCGTCACAAATGTTGCGAGAGTTGAGAAGTGAAAACAAAAAATGTACACGTTTGTTTAATATAATTATAATGAGTAAAAGCACACAATGGGCTCAATATACAACAGAAAACAATAATAACTGAACTGATACAAATGTTACTGTATTAACAAGAGGTACATAGGTGTTACAAGGTGTTACGCCTGTAAAAAATGACAAGTGTTTCATTAAATTTCGCCCGCTTTGTGCATATGTGGCGTATTTTGTCCTATATTTCGTAAAGTTGCTTCTGTTTCATTAAACCCCAAAGTAAACCAGAATCATTTCAAAGCTGTTTCAGTTTTACTCTCTAATTAACAGGTGCGTTTGGTCCATGTCTATGTGTTTAGATAACTGATTGTGAGAGATAAGCTATGCAAACATTTATTTATAATTAACGGCTGTAAAATCTATACGTGTTTATTTCGCGTATCAACTGTTATAACTGTGTCTAATTAAAACCCGATTGATCCATTTGATTCAGGTCAATAAGAAATGAAGAAATATATTTAGCAATTCAAATATTATCTCCAAATATTATCCACATGGTAAAAACAGGTTGTGTGTTTTGTTTAACCGGCCTTGATATTAAAGTTATACG